GTCCTGGATATGGGTCAGTCTTTGCAAAAGCAGGAAGCTGGCAAGGCATGACTACCCTCTTGCCACCCCCCAGCAGAGCCTCTACTCTATCCACTCCCCCACCCCAAAAGTTGCCTCGCCCAAGTGACAGTTCTGCATCTTGTATGCATCCTCTCAAACACAGGTGTGTTTTCAGGCACCCAAGATGAGGATGAGATTTCTCCTCCACAGCATGCTATCTGGAGGTGACAGGGAGGAGGGCCTTCTCTCCTTCTCTCCCACTCTCCCTAACCTTCCTGGGAGCAGAAGGCGTTGGTTCTAGAGATAATGCCCTTCCCCCCGGGTGACTCTGCAGGGCCCTAGGTGTCCCAGGTTCTTAAATTGACCTCTGTGTACGTGGTCGCCTGACTATAAGACCGTACTTAAGAGGTGGAACCTAAGATAACCAATGAAAACTCATTACCTCTCCTGAAGCAGCTGTGGATGGAGAACAAATGACAAACCCATTCACAGAAAAACTGATGGCGGAGCTACCCGCCGCCTCGTGGTCCACAGCACCCAAACCCAAACGAAGGACTCACACCCCTGACCTCATCAGTAGGGAACTGTTGGGGGAGAGTTCAAGAACTCAAACTCTGAAATGCCCTTTCTGGCCGGGCTCCCCTCTGCGTCCACCCCCTGCCCCCCACCCCTGCCACCGGTTCCCTCTACTCTCTGCCCTGTAGGCATATGCAGCGCTCGGCTGGCAGCCACTCAGAGTGCAATCTCTAGCCCTTTGATTCACTGCCACCCCTGCTTGCCTGTCCTCAGCCTTGGGCAATAGCCCCTCTTCACTCTGTCCCCACCTCTGGCTTGCTAGGAAATGTCAGGGAATGTCACAGTCATGCCGATGAGTCCATGACAGAGATGTGTTTGCTGCTATCACTGGTGCCACATGGCTACCCAGCAACCCTTTTGATTCTCTTCTGTTTGTCCCTGATTCCATTCCCCAAACCTCCCCAGTCCTTCTCCAGCCACCACCCCTCACACAGCAGCACCATGTTCTGATCTCTTCCATTTAAAAACAACAACAGGGGGCTTCCCTGGTGGCACAGTGGTTGAGAGTCCGTCTGCCGATGCAGGGGACACGGGTTTGTGCCCCGGCCCGGGAAGATCCCACATGCTGTGGAGCGGCTGGGCCCGTGAGCCGTGGCCACAGAGCCTGTGCATCCGGAGCCTGTGCTCCGCAACGGGGGAGGCCACAACAGTGAGAGGCCCACGTACCGCAGCAAACAAATAAACAAACAAAAATAAAAAATAAAAAATAAAAACAACAACAGGGGACTTCCCTGGTGGTGCAGTGGTTAAGAGTCTGCCTGCCAACACGGGGGACACGGGTTCGAGCCCTGGTCTGGGAAGATCCCACATGCCACGGAGCAACTAAGCCCATGCGCCACAACTACTGAGCCCACGTGCCACAACTGCTGAAGCCCGCATGCCTAGTGCCCATACTCCGCAACAAGAGAAGCCACTGCAATGAGAAGCCGGTGCACCGCAATGAAGAGTAGCCCCCACTCGCTACAACTAGAGGAAGCCCGCACATAGCAACAAAGACCCAACGCAGCCATAAATAAATGAATAAATATAAATTTATAAAAACAGCAACAGCAAAAACCAAACAAACAACCTTCCGTGATCCTGCTGCTCCCTCTAGATGTTGACTCTGCCACCAAACTCCGGAGGGAATAGATTTACCCTTCTGACTTTCTTCTCACCATCTCCATCTTTAATCTCACAATTCGGTGTCTCTCAACTGCTCTTGCCAAAGTGGCCTGTGACTCCCTGATTACCAGAGAGGTGGTCATCAGGGACCCCCCCCCCCCGCCGTCTCCCCTCCGCTCTCCCGGGACTTCTGACACTGCGGATCAGCTGCCTCCTTGAGACTCTCTTCTCTTGGCTTTTCACACACTATTGTCTTGACACTCTTTAAATCTGTTTAAATCAAATTATCGAGTACATTATCCTGTGCCCAGCATTGTGCTAAAATGCTGCAGGGATGCAAAGATGAATACATGGTGGAGGCTGCCCTCACGATGCTACCTGCTTAAAAGAGAGGCAGACACAACAGCCCTTGTCCTGCCCATCCTCCAAGAACGGCGTCAGGTCCCACGCGGAAGCACTTACAGTGTCCTAGGCGCTGGGAGTACAGCGTGGACTTCAGACGCCACTTCCTGCCCTGTGGGGCCCACGGCCCAGCAGACCAGCAGGGCCCTCGCCCAACTGGATGCGATCACTCCCTCCTTCTTGACTTAAATAGTATTTTGCCTGCGTCTTTCTGCACTTAATCAAATTCTGCTTTGGATTCTAGCACTTGGCAGGGGGTGAAGATGGGGGGATGGGGGGCTGGTCCCTCTTCCCAGATTTCGTTCAACACACTCATTGAACGCCTTCTTTGGACTTGAGCTTGAGCCTGAGCTGGGTGCTGGACAGAGAGAAGGGGAAGACTTAGAATCTGCCCCCAGGAAGCTCACAGTACGTAACGTGGGACGTACCTTCCTTCTCCCTGTATCCCGTTTAGCCCCTTGCTAGGTGCCTCACAGTACAGCCTCTGGATGGAGACAGCCCAGAGGCCCTCTCCTTTCTATCCAGTTAGGCTGGTGGTGGGGCCTGCAGCTGCCCCTGGCAACACCTGGGCAGCCATGTCTGCCAGAAGAGCCTGTACTCCTCTGGGTGGATGTGTTCCCCCCAACTTGGGTCAGGTGACTCAGGGACTTTTGGCAGAGCCTGGCTCGCCCCGCCCACAATCAGGTCCTGTCCCTCCTGCACCTACACTCCCAGCTCCCCCTCTTCTGGTGGCTCTGCACTTGTCACTATCTCCCAGTGCACATCACGTGAGCGTGCTTTTGTTTCTTATCGGCTCAGGTAAGCTCGCTCTCTTCCCAGAGAGATTGCAGGCTCTGTAAGGGCAGGAGCCAAGTCAGGCCTTGGACTTCTTTAGGTTCTCCAACACCAGTTAGCACGGTGATGGGCAGGTAATTAGGTCTTTAAAATATTTGTCAACTGGGGCTTCCCTGGTGGCGCAGTGGTTGAGAGTCCGCCTGCCGATGCAGGGGACACGGGTTCGTGCCCCGGTCCGGGAAGATCCCACGTGCCATGGAGTGGCTGGGCCCATGAGCCATGGCCACTGAGCCTGCACGTCCGGCCGGAGCCTGTGCTCTGCAACGGGAGAGGCCACAACAGTGAGAGGCCCGCGTACCGCAAAAACAAAACAAAACAAAAAATTTGTCAACTGATTGACATCACCGTCGTTTGTTACTTCCTTCGCTTAGGACACTGTCTCCAGGAGGCCCTGGTAAAATATCCCCGTATTACCTGGGAGCAATTAGCCCATTGATCTACCCAGTGGCTCTTCACTAGAGCGTCCTGTGATTACTGTGATTACTGATCGCCGCTGCCTCAGCCAAGCATCTTACCTTCATTGTTTCTCTTATTCTTTCCAACGTTCTTATAAAGGTACTGATTGTTCCCATTTTACAGATGGGGAAACTGGAGAATAGAGAACTTTAAATCACTTGTTCAAGGTCACTCAACTGGTAGGTTATGGACCTGGGATTTGATCTTAGGTCATCCCTCCAACAGCATCTGTCCTGTTTGCTTGCAGTCCAATATGAGTTTCTCTCTCTCCCCCTAATCGGCTGTTTTATGTTGGAGAGAAAAGTGTAGAGTCACAGCTGAGATTTGATACTTGGCCTCAGTCTGTCACCCTCCCTGGGAGATGAAGGGTATTGAGAAGGTGAGGGTCACTGCTGAGGGACTCTGGCAGCCGGCCACAGGTGGGTGTCCTGGGGAAGCTAAGGGCTAAATGCGCGGGGCTCGGAGAGAGCACCCGAGGGCAGACCCATAAGACCACTAAAGTAAGCCGGAGGAGTGAGGTAGACGGATGAGCAAAGGCTGGGAGAAGGAAGGTAAGCGACAGACAGATATTTGGGAGGACTAGAGGAGGGGGTAGGTGGAGGGGCAGCAGCGGAGTCTGCTGTGTTCATGTCTTCCCGGTGGACACAGGGGAGAGAGCCTCTTCCCCAGCTCTTGGCATCTCCTGAGCTAACCCTTGGGCTTCCGGCCCTCCACCAGCAGGTGTGGGGGGTGGGCGGAGGCGGGAAGGCCCGGAGAACAAGGAGGAGAGCCAGGGGGCGGGGCAAGGCCAAGCAAAGAGATGAAGCTCTGGGGCAAGCATTTTATTTGTTAATACAAGAATAGAAATTCTGCAATAAATATCATCTAATAAATAACATCTCCAAATAAATAAATATTAATACAACAAACTTAGAGTCATGAGTGGGTGGGGCTGGGGTGCAGGGCCTGGGGGAGCTGCCCCCCGCACCCCGAAATGCTACTGCAATGTAAACTTTCAGGGAGTTCTGTGGCTGTGGCTATGGCTGCCCTCCCCAGCCTGGGCAACCCACAGATACCCTGGGAAAGGGGGCGGAGAGGAGGCACCCTGGGGCTGGCAAGAAAATTCAAGGCAATGTCCTTTTGGTTGCCACCCCGTGCCACGGACTGCCTTGGGGACCCCTGGGTCCAGTCTGTCCCTGCCCCTCTGCTTTCAGTATTACCTCCAATGCAGATCCCACCTCTTCCATTTTTGATCCCATCTCTTCCTGTTTGGACTTGCCACTGTGTTTGTTTCCTGAATCGGATGTATTGAGTTATTTGGGGGTAGGGGAGCAACACCCATCTAAGGAGAGCAGGGCAGCCAAAGGGCTTCACCCCAGAAAGGCACATGCGATGGTGGCCCCCTCCCTGCCCTACAGGCATGCTTCCTGGCAGTGCCAGGGTGGGCACTGGCAAGTGGTAGGTAGGGAGCAGGAAGCTGTGAGAGCCTTGCACCAACTTGAACCATTGTGGGCTCCCTTGAGCATCACGTCCTGTGGAAATGGGATGGGGCCTATTGCACCTCTTCCCCAGACCCGTAGGACTTAGGGAAGCGGGGAGGGGATGGGCCTTATTGCATCACACCCTCCTCCCAGTCCAGGGAGGGCTAGAGGCCCATGGCTTCTGTCTCCTGGCTCAACAAGTGTTGGTGTACGCCTTTCTCCCTCCCAGAGTGGGAGCAGGGCTTGAAGGGGGAGGGGAAAGAGACGGTGGTAAAGGTCAGGGATCAGAAGCCATGGGCCTCCAGGTGCAGGGTGACCGCGGCTGCCGGAGGCTGCATCTTCTTCTTGAGCCGGTTGAAGTCCTTGGCCGAGCGCCACAGCCAGGTCTGCAGTTCCTTCAGCAGCCAGAAGTCATCCATCTTCTGGAGGAAGTCACTGTGGGCAGGGCCAGGCGTCCAGGTGGGCTCAGTCCCGGGCAGAGGCTGGGGCAGCGGGTAACCCAGAGCTGCCATGACGCCCGCGATGCTGCCCAGCAGGCCCTGGAGGCTGGTGCAGAAGTGGGCCAGGCTGCGGCGCAGCTCGGCCGTGGCGGCCTGGCGGTTGAGGCCACGCAAGTAGCACAGGAGGTGGCTGTAGGCCTCGTAGTTCTGGGTCAGCCGCAGTCTGTCGTTGAGGCTTCGCCACACCTCCAGGTTGACAGTGGCCCTGGGCAGAGACTCCGCCCCGAGCCGAGGTGGGTTGAAGTCAGGCTCGTTGAAAGGGGGGCCCAGGTAGTTCAGCTGTGAAAAGGAGAGGGCGATGGGGAGGGAGGGGGGCGGAGAAGCCAGCTCGCCTGCCTGCCGGGAGATACCTGCCCCCAAAGCTGCTATTTCCTGTGTCCCCTGACACGGCCCCACCTCCACGCTAGGCCTCTCTGTTCTCGGGCCTCCCCTAAGTTTCTCCGGGGATGTCATTTGCATGGAGGTGACAGTTGAAGCAATGGGGGTGATGAACTCTCCTATGGAGAAGTGCAGACAGAATAACGCGCAGGAGAAACTCAGGAAGGACGTGCTGATTGGCTGAGAGTACCAGCCTTGGGAGAGCGCCCACCGTGGGGGTTGGGACAGAGAGGAAGAGGAGCCACGAGGACCCAGGAGGCCAGGCTGCAGAGGTGAAGGTGGACCAGGAGAGTCAGAGCCAAGGAGAGGAGTTCAAGAAGGCAGCAACGCTCAGCAGTGGGGCTGCAAAACAGAGAGCGACGAGAATGAACCTTAGAAATGCCATTGGGTTTGGCAAGAAGGAGGTGCCTGACGACCTTGGAGAGAACAGTTCCAGTGGCCTGGAAGCCAGATTGCAGGGGGTTAAGGAGTGAGTGGGTGGAGAGGAAGTGGAGGCAGAGGCTGCAGACCACTCCTTCGAGAGATTTGGCAGCCCGGGGAGAAAAAGGGTCGGGAGCTAGGGGGGTAGCAGTCAAGCAAAGGTTTTCTGGACGGGAAACCAGAGAGGGAA